TCATCTATCCATTGCCAAGTAGTTTAACTAATTATTTGTTTAACCAATACTTTAACATGTTTGGTATTGTTAAAATAAGTTGGTGCAACTAACCCTTAATCTTTTTGATACTCACTTAACATAACAATGACAATGTGTCGAGTACCTACGAAATTGATTGTGACCTATTTGTCTGTTTGCACTCACTCCACGGTAAATATCTAAGGTTCTTTGCGTAGTTGCCTTATAGCATAGTATCTATTCTATATTGTATTAGATCAGCTTGCTCTGAGATAATTATGTACAAAGCTCTCATAGTTAGGTGTTGTTATTTATTTATCATTATGAGTGAATTCTATAGGTACTTTGCGTTACCATTTAGCAAATTTAGTTTTAATGTCACAGATTAGTTACTGTCACTTACACACACAGTACAGTTATATTATTTAATTTATTGGTAGTGTTGGTATTAATAAGACAACAATGGCATAGTTTAATAAACATGTGTTTTGTGCCTTTACAAAGTATTGTCAATTATGTTGCCAAATTGTAAGATTTTTAATTATAGTTAAATGCTCTGCTATGGATTTGAGAAAACTTAATGTGCGACCACTTTTAAGCTGGTTTTGTTTTAATCATGATGTGGTGAACGGTGTTGGTGTACAATTATATCTCATCTGTTTAACTATGTAAATTCAATGTAAATTGTATCACTGTTTGTTTACCCGTGAAAATAAATAATAAAAAATAAAATAAAATGGACAATAACTGTGAAGTAGAACTTTACATGACTAAGCCACATTTAGTAATTAAAAAACGATTATATAATTTTATTGTACATTTATTATGACGTTTCACACATATTCATTTTACGCTACGGATCCAAATGGGGTGTGAGATAAAATATATTGGTTCTTTTATCTTATATATATATATAGTAGGTAAATACCTGTCATTGTGATGATACATCGCAGTAATACGTAATCTGTGTCAAAAATACGAAAGATATAATTTTGTAACAAACTAAGATCAAGAAAATATGGTCTTGTAGCACTAATCTGTTAAAAATATAGAGGTTTTATTTGACATCGCTTTATTTGAAGCTGTTTTCGACATTGTAACTTTAACGGAGCAGAAAAGTAGTAGTCGTACTGTTAAATACTTGCTATAATATAAACTATAATTTAATATCAATTAGACAAATAGTTTCGAGATTAACTCAATGAAAAAACAAAAAAATATTAAAAACGCCACTTCTGTGTATGCTGGATCGTAACGTCCGAATAATATTGTAATGTGTTTGAAAATTGTGAAATATTAATGATGATAAATAAAAAAAAATAAAAGGTTGAGGTTTATAGTACGGAACCCTTGAAATCACAATATTTATATCGATTTCAAGGAAAAAGCAATTTATATAATTGTCTTCACATTTTTCCTACATTACTAGCTTCATTACGAAGCTTTCAGCACTAATATGGCTAGCGAAAGCTTTTAAAATACTGGTAATGTTTGTCTAATGTTACGAATACAGTTAATTAATCTAATAAAAAGTGACAGGACTGAAAAAGTCACTTTACCTATTAGGTCTAATGTGGGCCGGGCCAATTATGTAACGTCATCTCTCCATGCAATGTATTTATTGAATAGACATGTAACTGTGTTATTATCAGATATACTTATTGGATATTTTACTGATATAGTTTTTAATCACGTAACAATTACTGTAAGACAATGGAGTTTATAACACGTAAAGCACAAATGCCTTTTCATATTTTAAATTAAAACTGAATCGTGTTATGTCTTTGAGAAAACTATTTTTATATCACTATATTATACCCGTCTTTTGTTAGTGTAAACGAAAAAAACTCAAAAATCACCCAAAGGATTTCCATATATGAGTATTATCATTATTGATAGAGTAACTTATTGAAAACGGTGTAAACTGGGCGAAGTTTATGAAACTTGAACTATCATGAAATAACAACGCAAGATCTAACTAAATTTAATAAGGCCAGGGTACACTATGGGAGGCCCTCAATGGCGCAAGAAAATTTTCGAAATCATTATAACGAATAAAAAAATCTATCAAATCATATTTTTTATTAATTTATTTAATTTTGCTGCATTTTATGAATAAAAATACTTTGCAGTGTGCGCTTTTGGATTTTCCATACATATTTATTATGATATTTAAGGAAACATCGAACGACTATGATCCACTTGTCCACAAACGTAATAACTATAATATTATCAGCCCAAATTACGAATTATATTAGACGTGTGTAGGGTTACTAGACAATAATATTCGTATAAGAAAAAGTCAAGAGAACACCATTGAATATACTTCTCTGTATAATTTGCTTAGTCTTTATAAATATAGCGATAGTATTTTTAGGTGCATAATTACGATAACATATGGTAAATGTTGCAGAGAACAATGTTTATAATATCATACTCGAAACTTATCGATGTGTTCCTCGGTTACATATATAGATTCTTACCTATTCTTATTATTATTTAATAATGAAAATGATCATATCCTTTTATAATGTTGTTTCGTGATATTTTAATTTATTAAACTAAGTAGTTAGTTTCAAATACATTTACTTGTCGAAATCAAAAAGGAGTTCGACTTTTGAACGATTTTAAAAGATAAGTGATTTATTTTGGTTCTAAGTTTTTTATCGTTTCAAATGTGCACAATCAGTCACAAAACAAGCAATCTTCAGTTTTTGTGATTTGTGAAAAAAAAGGATAATGAAGTTCATCATGATTCCATTGCAAATTGTGTTTGGTTATATATATTTTTAAATAAAACAAAGCAAAATAAATTCTTTCTTTTTTATTTGCCAGAATTATTGACCATCAAATCTAAATTTAAATAGTCAGTAAACTGTTATGGTTTGTGAAGTAAATAAACGATTAGTATTATATGAATTTAATCTCACAGATTTACGAGACGTCAAAATTCTATATCAATTAGTATTATTCTTAATACAAAATGCTTAAAAAATCCACTTGGTCCCTGGCACCCTGAGATGGGAATCGAACCCACGATCTTTCGCAATCCGGGCGACTGCTCTTTTTTAAGCATTTTGTATTAAGAATAATTTTCAGTATGGCATTGTGAATGCAAAATTAATAAAAATATAATCAATGAGTATTATTTCCGGCGAAGTCTTGGCGTGATATTTTTGATCAAATAAAAACTTAACTAAACTAAATAAATTTCATGATGTTACAATACAAAACAATGTTTATTGTGTTTTAGACAAATAAAATATTCACAAATGAACTTTCACTTTATAAGTATAAAACATATAATTTATAGAATAGCATCATTATTACTGATTACATCAACCACAACAAGCAATTTTTATTTATTTATTGAGCTTTACGGCTCTGGATTCAAGTACTTTAGAGCCATACATTATCCATATATTATACCAAGAGAATGTATTATAATGAAATAAAACTATTTTTAAACGGTTTCATCGCGTTTGTATTTAGTTTTGACGTTGACGTTTCGGACCCTTTACAGATTCCGTGTTCACATAAGACTAAGGTGTTGATTGTGTTTTTAATTAAGAGTTTAGCTACCTTCAAACCGATATAAAATCTTGACTATAGTAATGAAAATGAACTTGTAAAGTGGTTTGTAGTTATTAAATCTTTTAGTAAGTGTTCGAGTTTACTGCGTACCAGTGTTTATTGTACTCGTGTGTTGATTCCATATAGTTGACAAGTACTAGTAATACCAAATCGTTTGCATTTCATTGCCAGATGTTGGAGAACCTCGTCTTAGTTACAAACTGGGTATTTTGGGCTATCTAGCATTTTCATTCTATGCTACCATGAAAAAGATACGATTGAAAAAAATTGCAATCCTTCTATGATGCACAGATAAGAGACCAAAATGTTTCACCTTAAAGAGCGTTCCATGAGCTTAAGTTTAATTGAAAGCTGACATTATTATGAAATTAACTTGCCATAACAGTTTGTTTTTATTAGAAGGAAGACCAGATCGATAAATAGGTGCCGTTAAGCTGTCGCTAACGGCTCAATCAAACGGTATGTCGTAAAGATATGATGACCATAGTTGTGCTACCTTTGTAGTGTGGATACCCTAAAACCCATCGATTTCAAGATTAAGAATTTTATTATCTCTTGTTTACTCATAAAAAACTCAGCTAGAAGTTTCTAGTTTGTTTTTCAGGTTTAGATATTTGCAGCTTAATACGTAAAGTTGAAAAGTGCCTATTTACTAGAAAAAGTATGTCTTAAATGGAAAATAAATTTTGATATAATATTTACACACTATTCATCATCAGCCCTTTTACCTCCCCACTGCAGGGGCTCAGGGGTGCGACTGCCTAACTCATGGACGTAGCCGTAGTCGTAGCTATAACCTACGCTTTATAGGTTTTACACATGAATCTGTTGATATATTTTTTTTAAATTAATCATTTTTTATTATTTACATATTTAAGCAATGCTTTAAGTTGTTCTTGTTTGCTGAATTATTAAACGAAATTTACAAAATGTCGAATTGATACAAACAATGCTATTTCGCAAAGAAAAACAAACCAAAATGTTTGATAACATATATAAATAAAAAAAAAACAATTAATTTTAAAAGAATACAAACAGATTCATCAGAAATATCGATAAAGTGTAGGTTATAGCTACGACTACAGCTACGTCCATGAGTTAGGCGGTCGCGCCCCAGGTCTTCCTTATCAATGGAAGAGGATCTGCCATGACCCTCCACGCTGGCCCAATGCAGATTGGAGGGTACTAACGACCTCAAATTTAGCCGGGACCAAGGGATTGACGCGCGTTCCGAAGCACGGAATATATTTTTTTTGTCACCCATGTCACGACCGACCCTTGCGAAAGTTGCTTAGCAACAACGATCACAGGCCACGGCGCCTATTCACTACACCGACGAGCTACCATATTTATCACTTATTACTATTTAAGTTAACTATATTACACATTTTTTTTATTATTTGCAGGAGCGTGCGGACGGTGCAGGCCCATCATAAGAGTAGCGCAAGTCGTAGGAGGTTCTTCTTTTATTCCTTATATGCTTGGGGAGCTTCTGTAACTCTCACCCTGATCACCTATTTGCTGGATAGATTCCCTTTGACGCCAGTCCTAGATGCCAACATGGGCCACTCTATGTGTTGGTTTGGTTCAAGTGAGTAACAAAATTCTTCTTTATGTAACAGAAACATTTAGAACCATGCTTATAAACCTAGTTTTTATCTATGAATGTTATTAGCCTACCTAATAACATTACCTTACCTTATATCGAGTTTTTAGTTTCTTTTTCTTGTAGCCTTAGCTAAAGTATAGTTTTATGATTGATGGGATGATGCCTATTATGTCTTTGTTGCATTGATTCGTATATTGGTAGGGTACAATATAGTACTTGTTTATTAACTTATAATAATAATAAGATTTTATGATAATATGGATTTGTATAACAGGTGAAGTGTGGATTTGGATTGTATGTTCCATTATTCATAATTTACATTATGCACAAAAGCTGTTTTTTTCAGGAAATCATTTGAAATCATAATAACTTTGATATCACAAAAATTACCGATGTTACGATATTGAACTACACTATGGTGATGTAGTAATAAAATAATTAATAGTCTTATCAATTAGTATAATGCATACCTACAGAGTGGTGGTAAACTGGCGTTGATAAAAATATGAATGTGGAAATAAATGCTGTTTTTGGGACTTAATAGCGGTGATATGATGTATATAGACATTTTATTTTATATGTACAAATAATAGCATAGTACATAGGACTTTTTGTACAGTTTGTTGATCTATTATAATCAGCGTAGTGGTTTTTTCCAAGGTCGAGTGGCATCACGCATTAGTAGATATAGTTGTGAAGCCTTAACGGACAATTATGTGGTTTTATCTGGCGTTGTGAAGTGTTAACTATGATAATACGATAATATCTATAAAGGATTTATTTTCCTTAAAAACATTTTATTGTTTTTACGTGTCACATACAAATATGCATAAATTTTAATTTTAGCTCAAAATTCTGCTACGGATTGGCCGCATTATATATTCTTCGTTATACCAATGGGTCTGGTGTCGGGTGTCAATTTCGTCCTGTGGGCATTGACGGCACGACATTGCTCTCGTGTTAAATCCGAAGTTCATCGTCTGCAGGCTGGCTCAGTCGGTGATCGTGCAAAGCGTCGGTTCCGTATCGATAAGGCCAAGTAAGTTATTATTATCAAAATTTGTCTGCAACTTGGGATTCACATATCCTACTCATCGGGAAGACACTATAATCAGTTCATACCTTATTGCCAAAAATACGAAGTACTTTTATTTTGATTGATTAAAAAGAAAAGAAACTTATTTAAATAAATATTGGATGATATGATAAAGTCACCTCGGATAAAACTAAAACCCACTTTTTTGATGAGCCGGGGAAATACCGTAACCGGTCACCGAGACGACCAACTAACCTGTGCGATTTGACGGTTCCTATTTTTTTATTTAAACAGCTTATCTTTATATTTTAATGATGATATTACAGTTTAACGTTGACTGGAAAATTATGGGTGGTGATGGGTGCTGGTTGGATTTCGGAACTGATCTCTACATTGCTCATGAATCCTGAAAAGAATGTCCACTGGATCATGACCATTGTTGATATGGTTAATGAGCTTCAAGGAGTTTTGATATTCATCATACTGATCTTCAAACCGAAGCTCTATTATCTAATCAGGAAACGACTCGGTAAGTTACATGGAGTATATACTTACAGTTGTTTATAGAATATTGCACATAAAAGAGGGTTCAATAAAAGTCAGGAATCAACTTGCGAGATCATCATCTGGGTTAAAAAAAGCAATGTCTTTAATTAAATAGGTAATTAAGTGGACTAGCTAGATATTTTGACTATGATTACGTTAATAAACAATCACTAATGATTTCTAAGGCAATCACTTTTGTGATTAATTTTAAACTGCGTTGGCATCGAACAACATGTTCATTGGATCATTTGAAAGCAAACGTAATTTTTTTCAGGTTGCTCAAGGACGTCTACTGTCACAAGTATATATTGAATTTTAATAATTTTTACTATCACTTTTATAATTTTATTAATATTTCCAACACTACTTGTAGCGTAGTATTTTATTTATTGTATGTTGTAAACTTTCACGCAATTAACTTACTCAATAAACAACTTTTGAACTTTGTAACTGTCTATCGATCGGTCGGTGATCATAGATAAGTCAGGACTTCATTTTGATAGATCACTCAGGGCTTTAATGACGCGTAAAGCCTGTACGTATCTGTCAAATTAGTCGTAAACATCTGCCTATTTATTTTATAGCAGATTCCTAGATGTCGCTGTTCTCATCTGATTGCCAAATCAAATGCGAATGCGGAATTTTCGTGTGGATATATTAATATTAGCCGCTCGATCAAACCAAAATGCAAAAATTTCGTGTCGATCTATAAATATTAACAATTCAAACCCAAATGCGGAACTTTTGTGTAGGTTTATTAATATTAACCTCCCAACTTTAATGAAAACTTCTTGAATGTATATGCCGTCTAGTTAATAAGTTTAGTTTTACCATTTTCAAGCTTTTTTATTATTGTGTTCAATTTCTGTGCAGGGATTTACTTATTTATCTATGGCAGAGTTGACTTTCGTGCTTGGTACTTTATGAGTCTGTTTTGTGTACATATTGGAAGTTGTTTTCGGTATAAAAAAGTTTATGGTTGATTATTGATATAATAAAATGGCTAGAAATGAGTTTTAGAACCAGTTCAAAGGTTGCTTTATTAAATGAGTTATATATATTTTAATGTTGCAGTCAGTAGATGCATGTTAATTAACATATCTAAATTCGAGTTCTCAGTTAATAGGTACGAGGGTTTAGTTGTTCGGTTAAAATTTATATGTTGTGTAAATCATATTTCGTGGTAGAAATGTATCTACGGGAAAAACTTAGTATTCATTGAGTTCGCACAAGAAAATTGTATAATAGTTATATGTTTTTAAATGTTCAGTATTAATAGTGGCGAATAGGATTCTGATAACAAATGCACTCACTTACAATCAGTAATCTTTCAGAGCTCTTTATTTCATCTGCACTTTGCTTACTTTTTTATTCCACCAATAAAACTCCTCAAAGAGCAAATGCTTTTCGTGTATTGTAATAGCACTTTTTTCGTATATGCGCTTAATAATTTATTATGTTGTTTCGGTTTTGTATTACGAAATTACAATAATTTAGAAGTTGTGATAATATGCTCATTATTTACAATGAATGTACTCACCTACTCACTTCAGTGAATGCTGTAATCGAATTTCAAAAAAACTTTTTGCTAACATGCGTATAAATGAATTGAAATTATGTCAGCAGACCTTTTTTACTAATTCTAAAAATCTGTGGAGGAATATATTATATATATTAAGCAACTTAAAATTCCTTTATATTTTATAGAGTGTTTTTGATAATAGGCATAAACATATAGTCTTGTTATTAAGACCAAAGTTGTTATTTAATTAAAACTATTAATTAAAGTAAATTTATTATGGCAGAATAGAAAACGTCAAACTGAGACGTGTTAACTTATTTTGTTCGGATAATAGTACTAAAGTTAGTCCTCGTTTTGTACGTAATAAGTGTTTGCATACTTATGTGCATTGCATTAAAAGCTTGGTATTATAACATTACTAATGTGACTAATAATGGCAGGGTTGGAGAAACCGGATGCTCGGAAGAACAGCGCTTCTTCGTCAGCTCGCACCTCATCTACTTTCCTCTCACGCACCATCAGTACAGATGAGCGCACCAACAAACGAGTCTCTATGCCACACGACAATTCTAAAGTCCAGTGAGCAGATTGAATTTATACGAAACCACGTGATATGGAAAAAAAATGTAATTTGAATTTACTTTATACCTTCACTTTATTTTTTCGGTCATATTATAATTAAAGAGATCTAGGATTTGTATTGTACTTAAAGTACAATGAATGTCGTGTTTTTCATTTTTGTGTCAGTGAAACTACATTAAGATGTAAGCATGTTATCCGAGTAGAATAAGATGTAGAAAACTATTTAACAATTATTTTAAGTTGCCTGATAAGGCTTTTGGCATTTATATGCATTTTTAGGCTATGAACGTGAAGTATTTTTTTGTATATGCAAAATATGTTTATGAAATTAGGTATTTTAATGTTACATATACTTTTTTACTTATTTCGTAAAATAAGTAACTCAAAACGGATAATGTTGATCAAACTCGCATAAGCCGTGGTATTTTAGGAGGCATAACGTATTGAAATCTAGCTTTGTGAGCATTTGTTCAACACTATACATATTTTGAAGCCTGTAATAATAAAATATAGCCTATAAAAAGTCGAAATTGGGTTTACACCCATACAATATATAAGATCTGTTCTAGTCATAGTTTAAGAAGTACGAAGGTGCACAATTAATAACATTAAATTTTAAATCTTTTTTTTTAAATTGAAAAGCTTGAACTGTGACAATTTATTTTTAATGTAACTCTATTATCGAGTTTTTCATTAACTTTTGAAAAGATTTTCGAACTGTTTTGTTAGAAAGATAACGCTATGATAATACATATATGAAGTACACTATTGGGTTTTCGTAGTGAATTTATTTTTAAATAGCGATATGATATAAAGGGAATAAATAGTAAGTAAGTATATGAATAAAGAACTATGCTATCAAAGATGTATGGTCTTCCTTTTCGCGTTAGGTCGTGTCAAGACGTCTGTATATGAGATGGCAGAAGAATTATTTTAATCTGAATATCAGAACAATATTTTATTCAATTAAGTCAGAAAGTATTAGTATTGGTTGATATCTAAAGATTTCCCCGACGTTGGTTTGATAGTAATATCGAAAACTGATATTTATCTTGTATATAGAAATCATTATAATTTGTCTGTTGCAATGAATGTGTCATCCATTCACATACCCTAGATCTAAAATTGTATTGAAATCAAAATGTGTGGGCAAAGTAAAGCCAAGGACGGATAATGAATGATATAAGTATCCATTTATTTTTTAATGAGTTACGAACTATGCAATATACCTTTCGCCTGACATTACCGGGATACCCTAAGCATGATTTCTCTACTAATATGGTCTTCCTTCGCAGACGTGACGAAGAAGTTGACTAATTGTGATTTTTTTATCTACAGAGTGTTTTTTTAATTTTGTTTTCGCCAAAATCATTGATAACTTAATGTTCATTTATAAACAAACGTTTTGTTTGATAGAATTGATTAGAAGATATTTTGTTGATTTAATAACAAAATTGATAAGTCCTTCTTTATAAAAAAAAATCTCAAAGATAACTCGTTATATATAATTTATTCTTCATAAATGTTAATTAAGTATTGCTTGAAGTAGCTTTCGAAAAATATACCTATTAATTTTTGCTTGTGAAGGTATTATTTTTAAGGAAATTGAATAAATATCTCCATTCCAATGAAATTTACTGATTTGTTTAATTTTTCTTGATACTTTTTTCTCCGTAATCTACAATAGTGGCAATCCTACACGACATAAAAACGCAAAATACGGCGTTTCCTGAACAAAAGATATCCTTTGGCAGGTTTGATCTGTAGGTCCAAAGGATTGATTTAAGAAGTGGAGCCACCTGGATTTCCCTTGCAGGTGAGGGGGGGAGGGGGGGGAAGTTTGCACCCGCCGCGCTTCGAATAAAAAATTATAATTGCTCTAGTTATGCATACAGTGGCGTGTTTGGTATCGTTTTCGCATAAGAAGAGTACGGGGAATCCGTTTTTAAGGTTAGTTAGAGATACTTTTGTACAAAAAGTCAATAATTTTCGAAAAAAAGTAAATTTTAAAGTTAGTTTTTTTTTCTTTTAAATATATTTACCTTAATAAATAGATCGATTTTGTGATGAAAAAAATAGTATTATCAAGCTCATACTATCTAGTTTTTAGAAATATATACATTACGTATACTTCTCTAACAGTATGTACCCCAAAAAAAATACCGCGCGAATCTAGAAAACTTAAGTTGTAAATCATTTTCCTGTTTATCTTTTTTTAACTGCTCCAGTTATGAATACAATGGTATGTTTGGTATCGTTTTCGCTTAAGAAGAGTACAAGAAATCTATTTTTAAGGTTATTTTTAAACATTTTTATACAAAATGTTTATAGTTTTGATAAAAAAGTAAATTTAAAAGTTATGTTTTACACATTTTTGGTTATTTTTCGCAAATTAACTATTATCTTCTACGTTGGAATGTATAGTTTGTTAAAGACGGAGTAAATAAAATAATGATAAAAAATAAGCAAATATATTTTATATTTATAAAATAAAAAATTGTTAAAATCAAACACTTTCTCAAGTCTTCGAATTCCTCCGGAGGGCCTCGCGGACTACAAAACTGAAACAAAAAAGATAATATTATATGTAATAATGTATAATCTCTGTTTAGTTTTAATAAACTATAAATATAATAAATTCTAATGTTATCTAACAATTTAAATATACCTACCTACCTGGAATTAGCGGAGTATCTGTTACACTCTTATTCTTCGATGAGCGCCTCGAGGTCTATTGCACTGTAACAAAATAGAAATAATATTATACAATGTAAATAACAATACGAAATTCAGCAGGCAAAGTTATTTGACAACATAAATATACCTGATATTATCGCAGTTTCCGTAGCAGCTCTTACACAGCAGTGTGCATGGCATACCTTCTCGTCTGCAAGAACATCGGCCTCTGCAGCTGTTCTTGCATCCACACTTCACCAGCTCTCGTGCCGCCTCCCAGATACTGGGCTGAGTTGTCCATAATGGCTGCCATTCTCCTTCGGTTTGAGTCCATCCCCAGTCAGCTGGGGAGGGGATAACCCCTGAGGGATCAAGAGCTTGTCCCCAGATGAAGCCTGCTTGATAGGCTGCCCTCAAAGTGTGCATCCTTAGAGCATCCCTCGTAGGGGGGATATTTTGCAATGACTTGTTTTTGGAGAATAAAATCTTGCGGGCTTCGTTAACTGAACGAATTTCAGTAACACCACAGTATAACATGATGACGTATTTTTCTATTTTTGTCATCAAATCATCTGTCACTTCTTCCAATGGATTTGAAAGTGCTCTAAAAGCTGATGTGGCCTCGAGATGTTGCTGCCACGCTTTCCAGGTCAGTGTTTTGCCTTTAGAATAGAAAGCAGAAACGGTGTCACAGCCTGTGAAGGCATGGTACCCTCTCATAGCTTCTGCTTTGTCTTCTCCCAGAACCTGTGCCAAGTCATGTGCAGGTATATAGCTGTGGTGTTTGCCCGTTCCGAAAGATATCCAGAGCTCATGGAGACCTAACTGCTTAAGGGCGAAGAAGTATGATATGGCAATTATGACGACGTCGGAATCTACGGTGTGTATAATAATTCTTGTCGCTCCATTGATAACCATATCCTTTGCGTGCAGAATAATGCGGTCATCAGCTTCCTCAGAATTCACACTAAGCCCTTCTATTAGCGTCTCCGTTGGTTTTGATGTTTTTATTGTAGGACCGATGTTGGTCACTATATGCACTCCAATGATCTCTTGATGATCATAATTGCCATATCATACTTCTTCGCCCTTAAGCAGTTAGGTCTCCATGAGCTCTGGATATCTTTCGGAACGGGCAAACACCACAGCTATATACCTGCACATGACTTGGCACAGGTTCTGGGAGAAGACAAAGCAGAAGCTATGAGACGGTACCATGCCTTCACAGGCTGTGACACCATTTCTGCTTTCTATTCTAAAGGCAAAACACTGACCTGGAAAGCGTGGCAGCAACATCTCGAGGCCACATCAGCTTTTAGAGCACTTTCAAATCCATTGGAAGAAGTGACAGATGATTTGATGACAAAAATAGAAAAATACGTCATCATGTTATACTGTGGTGTTACTGAAATTCGTTCAGTTAACGAAGCCCGCAAGATTTTATTCTCCAAAAACAAGTCATTGCAAAATATCCCCCCTACGAGGGATGCTCTAAGGATGCACACTTTGAGGGCAGCCTATCAAGCAGGCTTCATCTGGGGACAAGCTCTTGATCCCTCAGGGGTTATCCCCTCCCCAGCTGACTGGGGATGGACTCAAACCGAAGGAGAATGGCAGCCATTATGGACAACTCAGCCCAGTATCTGGGAGGCGGCACGAGAGCTGGTGAAGTGTGGATGCAAGAACAGCTGCAGAGGCCGATGTTCTTGCAGACGAGAGGGTATGCCATGCACACTGCTGTGTAAGAGCTGCTACGGAAACTGCGATAATACCAGGTATATTTATGTTGTCAAATAACTTTGCCTGCTGAATTTTGTATTGTTATTTACATTGTATAATATTATTTCTATTTTGTTACAGTGCAATAGACCTCGAGGCGCTCATCGAAGAATAAGAGTGTAACAGATACTCCGCTAATTCCAGGTAGGTAGGTATATTTAAATTGTTAGATAACATTAGAATTTATTATATTTATAGTTTATTAAAACTAAACAGAGATTATACATTATTACATATAATATTATCATTTTTGTTTCAGTTTTGTAGTCCGCGAGGCCCTCCGGAGGAATTCGAAGACTTGAGAAAGTGTTTGATTTTAACAATTTTTTATTTTATAAATATAAAATATATTTGCTTATTTTTTATCATTATTTTATTTACTCCGTCTTTAACAAACTATACATTCCAACGTAGAAGATAATAGTTAATTTACGAAAAATAACCAAAAATGTGTAAAACATAACTTTTAAATTTACTTTTTTATCAAAACTATAAACATTTTGTATAAAAATGTTTCAAAATAACCTTAAAAATAGATTTCTTGTACTCTTCTTAAGCGAAAACGATACCAAACATACCATTGTATTCATAACTGGAGCAGTTAAAAAAAGATAAACAGGAAAATGATTTACAACTTAAGTTTTCTAGATTCGCGCGGTATTTTTTTTGGGGTACATACTGTTAAAGAAGTATACGTAATGTATATATTTCTAAAAATTAGATAGTATGAGCTTGATAATACTATTTTTTTCATCACAAAATCGATCTATTTATTAAGGTAAATATATTTAAAAGAAAAAAAACTAACTTTAAAATTTACTTTTTTTCGAAAATTATTGACTTTTTGTACAAAAGTATCTCTAACTAACCTTAAAAACGGATTCCCCGTACTCTTCTTATGCGAAAACGATACCAAACACGCCACTGTATGCATAACTGGAGCAGTTATAATTTTTTATTCGAAGCGCGGCGGGTGCAAACTTCCCCCCCCTCCCTCCCTCACCTGCAAGGGAAATCCAGGTGGCTCCACTTCTTAAATCAATCCTTTGGACCTACAGATCAAACCTGCCAAAGGATATCTTTTGTTCACGAAACGCCGTATAATTTCTCGTAGACCGGCCACTACAATGTGAACCTCAAAATAAATACTTAGTAATATCTTCGACACAGATATTATATTATAATTATTTATGTGTTCGATATAAAAATAAATATCTTCATATATAAAAATTAATTTCTGTGAGATTCGGCTACTTTTTCGATATTGAGATAAAAAGATAAAAGGGTGAACGTCTATATTCTCCGCACAAATGCGCCATCCTGCCTGTGCACCATCCGGAATTTACTGGTCCGGAATTGTACGGCTTTTCTCTATTCCGGATCGTTCTATTTCCGGTCCGAGATGGCGGCAATGAATAACGCTTGTGCACTGCCGTATCTGCGATCCGGAAAAGTCATGAAAACATAATCGATTTATGAAAAATCGATATTTATTTCGGCTATATAGTTAATTTCCGATATATTGATAATCGATATTCATTGTAGAGTATGTAATTCGATATTTTGGGTGATGATTTAATATAGTTGGTAAATATCATTGCATACGCCTTGGCAAACTCGATATAGTTCTAATTTGATAATCGTGTGGTCTAGTATCGATGCTAGATTCTAGAATCATATTAAAAGTATCGATCCCAAAACAATATCGAATCAAAAGTATCGATAACTTAAGGTAAGACAAATAAGTGTTGGTACGCTTACACGCCTAAACAACTGAACCCATCTAATGAAATTGGATACAGAAATAGACTTAACCTTGAAAAAGGACATAGGCTACATTTTATCGCGAAAAAGAGGTGGAAATAGGGGATGAAAGTATGTCAATGTCAAAATTTGTATTTAGGCAATTGATGAGTATAAATAAATATTTGATAACATCAGTATTCTAAAAGCAAAAGAATTCTGTTCAAAGAAATTATACCATGCGTATAAAATCGCGGCCAAAAGTATTTATTACTATAACTAGTCTAGCCGTAAATTCTATTACTGGCTGTTTACATACATTTGAAAGAAACATTAATTTAAATTTCTGACATTAGCGTCTATGAAAAAAAATAGACTTCTTTCCCGCCATTTTTGTATGTTTTAGTTTTGAAAATGGAGTGGGGAACTAAAGAGAAT